GGGTCTCAATCCCAAACCTAAAACCAAATCCTGGGCTAGTAACGGGGCTGTGCTCCTTCCAAGCTTCTCCTGTTTGCAGACAGCCAGAGAAGTTGAAAGACCTTGTCAGCTGCGTAAACATCACTTTTTATCAGCTTTCTTCTGAACACAAATCTAAAACACAGCCTCTTACTAGCTATTATGAAGAAAGTTAACTCTGTCTCAGCTTAACCCAGGACAATGCCCCAGGTTTGAGAGGGTGATACTGCTGCAAGGAAAGACTGGAGGACAAGGGCTGTAAACAGGCTATACCTCTTTGGAGGACACGTGAAGGCAGCTGCAGCAGGCATGGTGTTCTCAAGTGCTGCTGTGCGCCAACAAGCCTTTGTTCAGCCACAGTACAGGAGAAGCCATTTATGCAAACCACCTCTGTTTCCCACTCCCCTAAACTGCTAGTCAAGAGTCATAAGTACTCCTCATCCTTTTTCATCCAAGTAAGTAAGTAAGTATTTACCAGAAATGGTGGTTACTTATATGTGAATCCATTTCTGTTAGCTCTCTTTCATACAACATGTAGAGGTGCTCTACTTGACCTCAGGAGGAAGACACCTTGTTTGACAACACAGACTTTATACAGTTGCTCAAAAGATCTTGTTGCATTTCAGTCTGTGTCTCTCCTACACTAAAAATCTGAGCAACCACTAATTTTTAGGGTGCTGTGGTTTCTAGCATAAATCCCCTGAAAGCCCTTAAGGGAAAAAGAAAAATGAAGTGCTAAAGAAACTTTGAAGTCCATTTACTCTGAATGAGATTTTAGCTGCTAAGTCTCTTGAACTTGTCCGTAAGTCTGATGAGACTTTCTCAGTGCTTCACTCATGCAAAAAGCAAGCAGTCAATCTATTCAGGGTGCACTAAGGCCCAGGTTACAAACATTCTTCCTCCCAAAATTTCTAACACTTCAATAGCTTAGTAACTTTCAGCTGAATAATAGAAGAAATACCTTACCAAAAATATCCTCTAAGTGTAACTCCCTCACTAGCCACAGCTGTATTTAAACAATGAAGCTATATGCCAGCCGTTCCTGCTGTCAGTCCTTGGGCATCTTCCTAATGGGAGGTGGTATCAGCTTTAATTCTTAGTGACCAACAAGAGACGTACTTCCAAATCAAGAGCAGCTCAGTGACATGGAGCTATGGAACAGGATTGGTAGAACGAAAAGTCAGAGAGAACCTGTAAGAAGACAATTCCAAGCAGCCAACACTGGTTCACACTTTGCAGATAATTCTGTATCACCCATTTTGCGTGGGGTCAACACAAGACTATAACTTGCTGGGTTTGCTCCAGGAGTTTGTAAAATTAGCAAGTGTAACACTTCTGACCATTATAAGTCATGTGGCGTCATGTGGATCCACTTTTCTGAGGTTATTTTTCAAGAAAGAAATATTCAGCCCTCACTCCCTTCTTGTGAGTGGCAAAGCGCCTCTACACTGTGCCTCCAGCAACAGGATGGACTCTAAGATATATTCTGTGATCCCCTCCACCTCCAGGACAGCATGAAGACTATACAAAGGTGAGGACAACTACCTGTTCCCAGATGTGTAGGCTTGCTTCTGATGGCCAGAAAATTGAGCAACAGAACTTTAGCATACTTCTCTGCTGAAGTCCTTTCTTTGAAAGGACTCAATGAAAACAAGGAAAGATTGACCATGCTTGTCTTTTTAAATTGGGGTCTGAAGCCCCGTGTGCATGCAGGCAGTCACACAGCTTCCATTTGGGTTATTCTTTTTAATGCATAACAGAAAAGGGAAAAAAGGCATCTAACAGTTTGCATTACTGATTTTCTGTAAGCAGTGTTCATACCCTGTCCCCGAGGGTGGTTCCCCACACGACACAGCTCTGTTTTCCAGTTAATTAGAATCATAGGATCATTAAGGTTGGAAAAGACCTCAAGGATCACCAAGTCCAACCGTCAGCCCACACCACCTGACTCACTAAACCATGTCCCTAAGAACCACATCTACACATTTCATAAACACCTCCAGGGATGGTGCCCCCACCACTCCCCGGGGCAGCCTGTTCCAATGCCTGATCACTCTTTCAGTGAAGAATTTTTTTCTAATATTTAGCCTCAAGTTTCCCTGGTGCAACTTGGGGCCGTTTCCTCTTGTCCTATCACTTGTTACTTTAGAGAAGAGGCCGGCACCCACCTCGCTACAACCTCCTTTCAGGTAGTTGTAGAGAGTGATAAGGTCTCCTCTCAGCCTCCTCTTCTCTAGACTAAACAACCCCAGCTCCCTCAGCCGCTGCTCATAAGACCTGTGCTCCCGACCCTTCACCAGCTTCGTTGCCCTTCTCTGGACCTGCTCCAGCACCTCAATGTCCTTCTTGTGGTGAGGGGGCCCAAAACTGAACACAGGATTCAAGGTGTGGCCTCACCAGTGCCGAGTACAGGGGCACCATCACTTCCCTAGTCCTGCTGGCCACACTATTTCTGATGCAGGCCAGGACGCTGTTGGCCACCTGGGCACACTGCTGACTCATGTTCAGCCTTCTGTTGACCAGCACCCCTAGGTCCCTCAACCTAATTAGGCATGGAAGTAGGATAAGATCACTAGTCACAAGTGTAACTCTCCCTGCCTCACCCCCTCAGCCAACAGGAACTTCAGACAAAAAATGTATTCATATACTGAGGTCATGAATTTGAAGTAAGAACGTAAAAATGAGATGTTCCAAGGTTATATTCAATGGCTCTCATGACTAACTCTTAAAACTCTGATGAAGAATTAAATTACTGGGCTAAAATGTAACTTTTTTATAAATAAATAAATTAAAATGACAAGAAAATAGTAGATACGTGTCACCTCTTTTTGTGCAGAGTCCTGTTGCTCCCAAATAGGCAATGGCCTGTTGACTCTTTGGATGCAATTGTCAGATATTCCGAGTTTACTGTAGGTCTGCTTGTATAATGCAACTTATAAATATGTCTGAGCAACAGCACATGTACACATTTGGATAGCAGCACATGGTGAAATTGTGACTAATACAGCTGGAGGCAAACCACTGAAATTGTCCTGCTAATTAGTTGAAATGAGCTGTAAACTCAGTGCACCAAACCTGCTCCAAGTATAATTGCATTAATGTAAAGGGCTATATATCAGGGAAATATTTCACTCTCTGAAGTTAATGAGTAATTTCCTAAGCTATTGGCAACTAGTCACAGTTAGGTGAAGGATAGATTTTACTCCTTTCTGAATAATACTAAATAATAAGCTATTTTTGTGCTGGAAAAAATAAATGCAATTGAGGTATTTGGCTCTGAGGGGAAAAATGGACCATAAGTATGCTTTCAACAGCACTGTCCAGAGGCATCAAAGTGCACTTTAAAAACTTGGTGTGATAGTTCCTATTTCACATGCACTTTGAGAGGCTGAGGCACAGAGTGGCAACGTAACTCACTCCAGGCCACCTGAAGAATAAGTGGGAAACTGGAAATAGAATTTGAGTGTTGGATGAGAACTGTGTTTTGTGATCCTAGGTTATTCTGCCCTCCATTCAGAAAAAAAAAAAAAAAAAAAAAAAAAAAAGGCTCTCTGCTTTCTCTGCTTGTCTCTAGTAATCAAAATTATTTTCTCCTAATGTTCACAGTCAAGAGCAGCCAGCTAGCATCTAAAGAAAAGTTATCTGGAAAAGAATAGATTGTTTTCCTTGAAGATGAAGGGAATTAAGTTAAACTGAAGCTTTCATCACAGCATCCTCCTGCTTTTGCCACACAGACCCAATACAATGGGTATAATATGTAATAGAACTAGGCAGTTCCTACAGAGTAACTTCATACTGCAGTTTAAAAAAATACAGTGGGTATCAAGGCCAGCAATGTGTTGATGTAAAAGAAGATGCGGATGATATTTAATACAAAATGAACATTGCTCTCCTTGTCATTCCATCTTAAGGTGATTCACTAGAAAAAAAAGCAGAGGGTCAAAACAGGTGCCATAACAAAAGGTTGGAGAAATTAAGTTTATTAACAAGTGACAGCATGGGTAAAAACAGTACGTCTTTCTCCCAGTGTCAGATCATCATACCCTTAGGAAAAGAAGAAACAATGAGCCTCACTGACCAAAGAGTTCCTAGCACTAAAGCCCATGGTACCTCACTTTGCAGACTGTTGTCTAGTAAGGAGCTTTCAAACAGTAATAATTTTAAATAACTGTTTAGGCCAATGATCTAAAGGTTAAAGTGTTCTCATGCATTATGTATCCTTGCATCATTTGATCACCCAGACAGTTCCTTTTGATTTATCAAACAGCATCTTCGGTATGGAATTTGCTCAGAGAATATAAATGCCACAAAACGCTATTTATACACAAACTTGTAAGCTCCCGCTTACACCTGTCTACCTGAAAATTCTGAAGCCAGGTTACTTCAAAGATGTCCTTGTCTGATATTAAAATTCTGTTGAAACAGACAGTCCGAGAGCACTGTGAATTTCAGTAACACATGCAAAGCTCACTTTACCACACAGGCCTCCCCAAAGTGAGAGACTGAACAATTTCATCTGCCAAGCTTTATTACATTTGAAACCACTCAACAAACTGGATTTTCTTAGCATGAGGGATAAAATGAACTAAAGGTATGGAACCTAGATATTCTCTTTGGACATAATGGGTGCTCCATTTTATTCATATCTGTGTATTCTGACTTGTAAATGTATAGAAATACAAAACTCTCTGATCTGATGCACCTTCTTTCTCTTTGCTCTCTGTGTGTATCCCCATAAGACTCCTTTCAATGCCTCACAGTATCAGTGAGGCATTTGCAGCATGATTTATTCGGCTGGTTTTGCTTAGTTCTCACCTAAGTTTTCACAGTCTCAGGCATGATTTGGGCTGGCGTTTCACATTCAGGCTCAAGGCATGGATATAGGACTCAAGCTGAGTTGAGAACTTCTACACTGAAGTACAGAGGCTAATGGTAATTTTTCTTTCACTTCTCTGCCTTTCTGTCCATAGTCACTTTGGCAGCTGCTTATCATTACTGTTACCTGCACAGTACTTCTTGTCACAAATAATACAAAGTTGTACCTCCATTTCAGTAAAAATAGAGGAAAAATATTATATTGCCAATACAGCATTCAGTAGAAAAGGTAGTCTGAGATCTGAGTAATCTGAGGATGAGCGGGAAATCAAACCTTTCCCTTGAGTCCTTGTAAAAAAAGACACTGTATATTGTGCTGGAAAAAGACTACAAGTTTTGAGGAATATTTTCAAGGTAGTAGTATACCTGAGAGCTGATGCATGTCTGAAAAGGACAGATTTGTGTTAGAAATGTAAATATAGATTAAAAAGTGTTAAAGAACTTCATTTCATATTGTAGAGTATGTCATAGTCTGGATGCAGTTCTTCTGAAGTTAGTAACTCCCAAGGCCCAAATCAAGATCATGCAGAAAGACTAATTAACCTGCAGTTAGTAAGGGCCAAATCAAAGCTAGTGAGTCAACACCTTTTTCAGTTGGACATCTTTCCAGTTAACTACTATAATGAATGGCTAAGCACAGGGTTTGTCTCATAAGCTGTTTCAAAGCATCAGCTAGCTACAGAACTGTTGTTGATGGTTCTGGAGAGGTTACTGGATCGTGGAAGCCACGTGCTTATATTGGCAGGTGGTGTAGGAGACAGGAAACAGAAACAGTTTCCCAGTAGCTTTTAGATGTCCAAGATACATACAAAGTCCACATTTCCCACTTCCTATCAGCATTGCTTTCATCTTGATGATTGGATTGTGCTTTTTCAGGAGCTTTTTTTTTTTTTTTATGGGTAATGAGTATGTAAGGAATACAATTAGTTATTATTCATTGTAGAAGAAGGTTGAAGCCCAGGCAATAATCTGCCTTCTGGCTCTTCCAGACTCTTTCTGACAGTTTGAATGGGGAGCGTTATTCTTGTGAATTGCTGTAGTCTCTATCAAATGCTACAAATCAGAGGTGGGCATTTCTTCATAAACAGAAAGTAGTCAAAAGTAATCCACAGATATTTCTTTCTCACCAGAGTGCCATTTCTGTAAAGTAATTTTACTATAAGGCATAATTTCAGTCATCCCCTGCCATTTCAAACACTGTGTACCACTGCAAAATATCACTTCAACTATAAAAAGAAAGATTACCTTATGGTTATGTTGTTTTTAGAGTAGGTTCTCTCATGAGACTTATTTAAGTGAGAGTTTTATTTTCCTCCCCAAGCCATCAAGGAGTTTTATTTTTTCTTTCAGAAGACTTGCAGTTCATAACAAATGATTAAAAGCATCAGTTCGAAGTGGGAATAAAAAGACTTCGGTTCCTGAGGAATGAAGAAAAATTATATGAATAACCATTAGCCAAATAACTGACACCCCATAGATTTCATTCTAGGCCTGGTTTTATTGTTTCAGGATATTTCATACTAAGTAGTTCCCATTATATTCATTATTACTAAATCAATATCAGATGTGATGCTTTGTATGAATTTAAAAGGATATTTCCATTAAGGTTACATCTGAAGTTTGTATGAGACTCTGTTTTCTCACTCAGAAGAACTCCCAAGGAAGCAGCGGTGTGAAAATATATTTTCAAAAATCACGGTTAGAACTTAGCAGCAATTTTTTTTTTCTTCCCCGCCACCCCTCCCCCCCACCACCACCTTTTTTCTTTTTTGAGCACAGGATTTTTCATGAGAGCAGTACTGCTATGAAATAAGACCATGTTTCCTTCGTTGTTTTCTAGGTTTCTTATTTGTTATTGTTCTGGGTTTAGGATCTTTTCTGCTTTATACTTTTCTTTAAAATTTCTTCATTCGCTCCTTCTCCCTCATCCCCATCTCCAACCTGGGACCGGAAAAAGGAAGAGATGAGAACAAGCATATTGAAAGGCATTGGAATGTCACTTTTTCAAAGGTTAATGTAAAGAGCTTTGTTTGCAAAATACCACTGGCTCTACTGATGTTATTTTTCATTTTTTTTTTATACTATCAAATGAAATTAATGAATTATTTGGGTACAGTTTGGATTTCTGTTTTGTGTGTTTGTTTCCAAAGATTCTTCTGCAACATGGAGAGATGATGTTGCATACAATTAAATCAAGTTTCTCTCTGCAGGCATCACCACAGTATTGACCATGACAACTTTGAGTACTATTGCAAGAAAGTCATTACCCCGTGTCTCCTATGTCACCGCTATGGATTTGTTTGTGACTGTATGCTTTCTATTTGTCTTTGCTGCTCTGATGGAGTATGCAACCCTCAACTACTACTCAAGTTGCAGGAAACCAAACTGTACTAAGAAGAAAAAGTCGGTAAGATGGGAGCATTTAAATTTGTCTTCTAGCATGTGTCTGGCTCAGAGAGCAGAGAATCATTCAGTGAGAGCCTGCAGTCCTGTGACATTCCACTCCTCTGAGCTCTCCCCAGTTTGTGGTGTCATCTGCTCTGAAAGCTGATGGAAAATCATTACCCACAGTAACAGTAGAAGCAGTTATGTCCCTGTTGAGTGAGGTCTGTTCCTAACAGAAGCAGACTGGCAACCATGAGGCAGCAACCCTGCCTACGTCTTTTGTCCTCCACTTACTGTGCTGGTAATCCTAAAGGGCTCCCACTGAAACAGGCTGCATAGCTTGTTATACAAATGTATGCAGATCTATCTATTCACATGCAACTGCTATTTCATAGCTTAACAGGTCTAGAAATATTTATGAACTTTGCAAATGGGATTTCAATTTCTCCACTGGGAACCAGCACTTGTTTTCAGCCCTGTGCACAAAGGGACTTGTTCCTAAGTACAAAAACAGAGGAAGTTACTTGCAAAGGTTTTATACATTGATGCATTTTTGGCCAAGAGGACAATTCCAGGAGTAACACCCGGACACACACAAAAGATGTTTACTTAGAATCAATTAAAACAATCATGTAGGAAGAATTGCCTGGTATACTTCATAATTGAGTACAAGAATGACGGGGGATACTATTGCAAAAGAAAAATCTCAGTGTAACCGGAGGGAAAGGGACATGGGTTTTCCACTCAAGATCAGTGGAAAATCTTATGTGTTTGAGATCGGTAGCTGGAGATGTTGAATACCATTTTGCGTAATAGGGGAAATAAGGACAATTGAAACCAGAAATACAATGCCAAATAGGAAAAAAATTGAAGGAGGAAATTGAAGAGAGAGAAGACTACATTTGGGGACTAATAGGTCATGAGGTAAAAAAGGATTGAATTAAGAGCTATAGAAAATGACTTGAATGAAGAACTAATGAAGGAAAAGCTGAAATGAATATGGAATTAGAGAAAGCCTAGAAAGCCACAGGCTTAGTCAATCAAAACTCCATTAAATCTCTAATAGCTTCTTGTAAAAATGCATTGCACACAAAAGGCAAAAGAGTATTACCGAAAGAGTATGAGACAATTAAAATGAACTTGCTGATGATCAAACTAAAATTGCCATACTGGAGAAAGACTGAACGAAAAAGTCATGAGTATCTTTGTGAGTAGGATGTATTTCCAGACATGTGGATGATGATAAGGGAACACATGCAACACTGATGAGATTTAAATTAACACAAGAATAAATGCTCACTTAGATATTGTTTGCTAAATAAATAAACGTAATGGGTTAAATGAAGATTTTAAGTGGATGGAAACTAGGTATGCATTCTGCTGAGTTTTCATGCAAGTGTACAGATTATGCTGAATACATAGAATACTCAGCATGAAGTGTTTTGTGGACAAATGCATTTAAAGCCTTGGTTTAAGTAATGCTATCAAACATTAGATGCATATGAAGCAATAAGTATGTTTTCTTCTGAATAATTATTTTGTTTACTTTATTTAAGCTACCTGATGTAAGTTTTGGCCATGTGATGGTAAGTAAACTATTTTATTCAGTGAGAGCAATGAAGTCGTGAATGTATGGTTGACATTTCCTTGCAATAATTCCCGAAAAAGCTGTAATGCCATGTTGTGCTTTACTCTGACTTCCCTATAAATATTGTTTTGCTTTTTTGTAAAAGGTCAGTTTGTTTTTGGCTGTGGCAGAGGAACATAGCTGTCTCTTTCTATAAGAACTTACCAAATGATTTGGGAGGGAGAAGGGTCAAGTGTAGGATATTGTGTGTCATATTTACCTCAGAAATTTTGTGTATCTGCTTTATATAATACTGCAATTTCTCATTACATTTTATAAAAAAAGTAATAAGCACAAGTTATACCAAACTTTTATGGAGCTTTAACTGTGTTTCATAGAAAATAATTAATTTATAATTTGTATAGATCTACTAAGCCTGATCTTGGAAAGTATCTGCAGCCTTTTCAAGTTTTTTACACCCCTTGTTTTTACTCCCAGAGAACACACTTATACCTTGTCTGAAATAGTTTTATTAAGCATGTTCAACACTGCATCTGAACTGCCTTTTCCAAGGCACCTCAGAAATGCCTTGTCTTGGCAGAGCTCTCAGGTGGTGCTGGGTTGGGGCCCACTGTGCCTGCAGCCCTCTCCTCCCAACCTCAGCTCAGCAGGACAGACAGGACACAGTGGGTACCATCCACCTTCACCTGGTATCTAGTCACTTCAGGACCTCTCCCTCTGATTAAAGCAATCAGATTAATCTTTCTGTACTATCAGGACATTTATTGTATCTTCTGTCCTGAGCAGATAGATAGCTAATATAACAAAACAATAATGAAAAAATCCAGGCTGTTGACAGATGAGAATGTTTCTTTTGCAGAACCAGGGCAATTATTTCTTTTCACTTACCAAAATTGTCTGGAGGGATCTAAATTAGCCCTTTTTCTTTGTAACATAAATATTGTAGCTAGTCATAGAAAATTTCAGTCCTTGAGTAGGAGCTTTTCATAAAGGCCTGCAAGAGATGAACAGTACATGACACAGTGGTATAGTAGAATTCCATGTATGCTTTAGTCATAGCTTTTTTCTCTACAAAATGCTACAGACAAAAAAAGATTGCTTGTATAATAATCTTAGACCTTTTCCATGTGGCAGCACATTGTAAAGCTCTGATACCAGCCACTTGGAACTTTACAAATGAGAGAGAAGACCATGAGGCCATAACTTGTGTCATCTAATCTCAGAGACAAAGTCACTCACAACAGATAGATTTGCAGTAATCTGCTTCTGAACTGGAATCTGTTTACGGTCCACAGCACAATGCACCTGAGAGATTTTAGCCATCTACTTATGATGAGATGAGTTGTGTCGTACAAGTTATTGGCTGGGTACCATAGAGAAGTTGTTCAGATGTAGTTATCTATGTTGGAGATGCCAGCATCTAAGCAGAGGGATACCACATCAAGTTCTTAGCTCAGGGACTGGCATTTTTAGTGAGATGGGTAATATTACATTGTGTCAAACCAAAGGATTTGTGGAAAGAAAACAAAGTCAATAGAAAAAGGAAAATTTCCCCTGAGGCACCTCAGTCATATCACTGATCTGTTTCACATACAGAGTGAAAGTTTTTAGATACACCCCAACACCTTCAACAGGAAATGTTGCATATTTTGTACAGCAAGTGTGGAAGCAGGGCCCCAGAGCAACCTTCCAGAATGCAAGAGGCATACTGGAGAGGCATGGCTAGCTTGTTAGTACATACCCAGCGTGCAGGCAAGTCAATGCTGAGTGGAACACAGAGAGAGGAGGGGCCCCTGAGGTGAAGAAAACCATACTGACAGGACTGGAAGTCTGCTTTGTCAGGCTGGTGCAGACAGGCAGTGAAGCTGATGGGACCTCTGCTAGTGATGCCAGTGGAGGAGGTGACATTTGTGAGGATGGAGCAAGTGACTTGATGAGAGAGGAGACTATCATCAAAAAGCACCTTTCATGAAAAGGCAATGGTGTGACCAAAAAACCTGCCAAAGTGTAAATAAGGAGCACGTTGAAGGAGAGGTGTGTAGGATCGAGTGGTACTGTAAGGATGCATGACACCAAAGTCCCCCATTTCTGAGCATGTGATAAGCACTAAGGGGACATGCCTAGGGATGGCATTTTGAAATCCTGTACTGAAATCGTCAGTATCTGTTGCTGACCATATCTGGTTTTTTAAATTATGGTAAAGTTAACAGGCAGTGAATGCAGGTATACTAAGTGGAGATCATTCTGTAATTAAACCAGGAGGAAGGACATCTTCCTTATTTTTCAGAATCCATTCTTAAATGTGGTAGCTGCAAGTATTTAAAGGAACTTGCAAATAATATTCTGACAGACAAGTGAACTCCGAAGCGTGAAAAAAATCATTACTAGGAAATATATGCTTGAGTTACCCAAGTAGAAAATGCACCTAGAATTATTTCACTTGCCTCTTCACAATCTCTCTATGGAAATTCAACTGAAAAGGCATTTTTTGAGGGAAAGAAAGTTGATCCCTAGATCTGGAATTCCTGTAGTATCACCCTCTTATTCTCAGCTCCTGTGATTTTTTCCCATGATTAGTAATTGTGATCTGGATAATACATGGAAGTTTATCAACCTGTTGGTTTCTTCTTCTCTTCTCAGAATTATTCTGTACTAGATATGAGACCACCAACTACAGTCATCACATTGAACAATGCCATGTATTGGCAAGAATTTGAAGATGCGTGCGTCTATGAATGTCTGGATGGGAAAGACTGCCAGAGTTTTTTCTGTTGTTATGAAGAGTGTAAATCAGGCTCATGGAGGAGAGGACGGATTCACATAGACATCTTAGAACTGGACTCTTACTCTAGGGTCTTTTTTCCTACATCCTTCCTGCTGTTTAACCTGGTTTACTGGGTTGGATACCTCTATCTTTAAATGTTGCCTGTAATGGTGAAGACTACTGTGTTTTCACACTGTGGAGGGATGGTGAAAGTGCAGAAGAAGTGAAGGACACGGTCAGTTTCATATCAAATTATAAAGGCCACATTAACCTTCACCATCACAGAGCCTGATGAAGAACTTTAATATGTAATTGCCTGGAAAAGAAAAATGTGGAAGAATTCTCTCCTTACTGCTGTTAATTTTAAGGAAAGGATTCGTACAAAATTCATCTGAATTTGTAGTGTAAGCAATGTTTATGAATAATTATTGTATATTAGAATCTTTACTATTCTCCCTTGGCATAGAAGCTATACACAATTCAGGCAAAGGTTAAATAAGTCATTTTTGTTCTTCATTCCCATACTTTCTTCAAAATGCTGCCATATCCCTGAGGCTCAGAGCAACATACACTGGCACTGGCAAATAAGCCAAAGCCAGCAAAACTACTCATTTGTATTTAAACGTGCTTGAGCTACCTCCCATAGGTTTTGGGAAGTATTTAATTGGTGGACTGCTTGCTTTACAGAAACCATGAAAAGACAATAAGAAATGGCTCTGGCGGGATCAAAACATGGAAGTAGCTTTCTGCAAAGTTCTGGGATTCATATAATTAAACACTTGCCTACACATATTGGTTTTAACTTAAGGTAAAAAGGCAGAGTTATAAGAAAGCCAATATTTTGATATAAATAAAAGACTTGCCTATCTCTGAGGCAGCTGTAGGCATAACTTCTACAGTTTTTCAATCATTTAACTGTCTTTTTTATGACTGGTTAAACACAGGATGGTCATTGATTTCTGAAGTCCTCTACCTGAAGCAGGACAAGATTCCTGCTTGTTTGTGTCCTTGTAACAGATTTGTAGTTGATAGGCCATGAGTAAAAATCAGTATATGAATAGCACTAGGAATACGTGACTTTCTTCAGATTGCAGTTTACTAGAAAGTGCTCTCATACATTCTTATTTTTTCCTCAAAGTTCTTCTCAAAATTGAAAAATGTGTGCCAAAGGATGCATTGTGTTCCTTCCATAAAGTTAAACATTGCAGTCCTTACTCATGGCAGTTGTTCACTGGGTCTGAGATGAAGACTGAACACTTTTGACTTGAATAGTGCATATGGGAACTCAGTTGTCACACTTGGATTGAACATGGGATAGTTGTTGCTTGTAGAAACAAGTTGTTTTGATTTTTTTTTTCCTAAGCTGACAACTACATTTTACCCTAAAAAGCTCTTTTGTATTTTTCAAGCTTTTGACCATTAAATTCTTAAATTGCCTGTTTTTTTCAAAAACTAGTTTTACAGTGTTAAACTAGATTATGTCTTTTACAAACTTTCTCAATAACTGGTATTAAGCAAACCAAACAGATTAAAAACTAAATAGCAATGTTTTTTCTCTACCCTTTGGATAACAAATGGTTAAAAATTATTAAAGTTAAAACGTGACTAAAAAAAAAATATTTTTTTTCTCTTCTGGAGGACCTGATAATTTTATTTATTAGCTAAAAAAAATGTGTCTTTTCCACACAGTATTTGGCAAAAAATGAATAGTAGATGTGATTGAAGAGCAGTTCCTTTTCTCCTCAGAAGGAGAACCCTGCAAACAGGAAAAAAATAATACAATGATAATTCTAAAGAAACGGAAATGCTGTCATGTTATTGGAAACATCGCTGTCTGTCATTGCTGTTTCTCTGTGCTTCCAGTGGGTTTTTAATTGAAAACAATTACTAACACAAAAGTTAACTGTAGTTATTCAAAATACTTCAGTTTTTTGCTTGTCTAAAATATCAGAGACAGAGCTGGGTTTAGGTGGGGGACAGGAATCACTTTCTCTAAGGACTGACCAAATCCAAATTAGAACCACAGAGAAGGAGTATTTTGAGGCAAGATCAAAACCTTATTTTTAGATACATCTGCCCAATCTGATGTCTTCTAAACCAATGATGACCTTCTGATTTCAAAATACATGTTGAAGTTTTTGCTTACTCTCAGCAGCGAGTTACTCTGTGAAGTCTATTACTATGTAAACCTCTGTGTCCTGTACTTGGAAGTATGCATTTTATTTAAGGGTGAAAATTATATTTTCAGCAGTACAAGAAGGTGATTGAAATGAAGTTGAATATCCTGGTCTCTAATTATAAATTAGTCTAACAGCCACCTTCAGCCGCATTTTGCAAGAATACTAAAAATATTTGAAGCCCAAACAAAAGAATGGAAACGGTTATCCTATAGGGGCCTGATCTTGCAAAACCTCTGCACAATTAATTGACTTTGGTAGGAGTGTTGAAACAGATGAGGCAGAAGAAGGTGCCTTCCACCATTAGATCTTGAAAAGGTATAGAGAGGTTTATTTAGCAACTGCACACTTGAGTGAATGTCCTGGGAGTGAGCGTGGAAATGGAACATTCCCGTTTTAGATGAAGAGCATATATTTTTCTTACATTTCTGCTCATGTCTACCAATTCCTGCTAAAAGCACACAGTCCCATGAGATCCTTCCTTGAAAGGCTAATTCTGCTAAGTCCATTCATATTGCCTCTGTTTTCTGAGTGCTTTCATAAACAGAAGTTGGAAGCATATAATTCCACCTTTTTCCACAGTCCTAACCAAGAAAGAAGCTGCAGACACTACTGGCTTCAGCTCTTATACTGAGAGCAGATGACATATTCTACTCTCTAATATATTCTACTCTGGGTTTATGTGCGAAAAAATTGATTTATCTGCAAGGTGAACGGCCACAGGCTGGCAGGTTCCAGAATGCATTCCTCTGCTTATTCTTAGTTGCTAGGTTTACTCTCTCTGCTTCACTGCTCTGTGCTTTGACAGACACTGAAAAACCAGAAACACCAGGGAAGATAAGCTTTCTAGGCTCTGCATCATTCAAAATGCAATTATTCTAGACACCTAGATAACGTGGTCTGCATATATCTATGTGCCATATCCTTCTCTAGTAGAAAGAATATCTTCATTAACTTCCAGATATTCTTTTGCTTCTTTTGCATATTGAAAAAAAAATTAACACTTCTGTGCACTCTCCCATGAGAAATGTAAGAACAACCTTTTGGAATTTCAGAACATTTTCTTATCAGATAACTTCATATTCAAAACTTGCATTTCTTCAACTATTTTTTTTTGTTATTTAGTGCTTCTTTTTACCTTTCCAAGGAAGGGAAGGGAATGGAGGAAGGCAAAAACAAACGATTAGTGAAATTAATAAATTTGGATATGTATGAAAAAACACAAAATTAAGTATCTTTATATTAGTTTCCTTCCTTATTGAAGTTACAGCGAAGATTGAGAGGATTTGTTTAGATAGCTAACTTTTCCCAGGAGGATCTAAAGTCAGACCTCTTATTCTCCCCCTTCAATAAAGAGTTGATGGACACTGTTGTCCTGCACTGAGGGCAGCATTTTCAAGGCAATTAAGAATGTATAAAAATATTGGCCTGCTTAATTCAGTCTTCTCATTTCTTCTGTCCCTGATGCCTAACATACAGACAGCTCCTTCTTTCCCCAGCCATTCTTCCAAGATTAAGTGTATAAAAACTTACAGCCAGTTTATGTTGTCACCGTGTCCAGCAGTAATGTGGAATTGAAGTATGCAACATGCCACACATTTTTAATGTAACTTTCTAATCAAGAAATACAGCTGTAGATTAAAACACCTCAGGCACTTTGATAACCTTTCTTCTCTTTCAGATGCTCATTTTCTCGTTCATCAACTCTCAACTGTATATTGGTATATTGTACATGTCAATAAAAATGATAAAAATTACAGCAGGAAGAATAATAAAAGCCAGAACTGTCTTCACAGAGACAGCAATGAGTAGTGAACCTAAAAGGGGAGGAAGAAATTACTTTTTATTGCTGTGCAGTTCTTATCTGTTCCACTCCTCTTATTTAATTCTGCCCACCAACTACCTACAACTAATTCCAAATCATCCACCTGGTGGTTTGCACATTCATCAGCTGGAACAGCAGTGACATATGAGCCTTTAGTTGATAGGAAATGATATATCTGGAACTGGAGGCATCCTGCCAAAGAGATAGATAACTATCTCAAATGCTTTTGCAGTCCTAATGTGTCTCAGTCTAGCACATCATGTTGCTGCATGAATGTATTATAACTCACACTACTTGGTCATTTCATGAAGGGAATCATGCTTACCTCCTTTTTACACCAAATTTCACCATACATCTAGAAAATTACTCTGTCCTATCAATGCTCCAAGCAACCAGGTGCAAGACAGCTCTGGAAAGGCCATACTTGCTGTACTGCTGATTTGTGGGAAGGGAGACTCAATATTTTAAGCCAAATTTCATCAGCATCACAATCTAGAGGGCTGGTGTTACCTTCTAAACTGTAACACAAAGCACCCACTGCAACTTGTAAAGGCTGTCCATATCAGGCTGTACTTCTCCCACTGGCTGCTCTTTCTGGGTTTCCATAAAGCACCAAGAAAAGGCAAGTCATATCGCATAATCTTAGCTGCCTACACAATTAGATTATTTTTTCCAAGTATATTCTTCTTGCTTACAGTGAAATCTTTGTGCCTCTTATATTAGTGCCTTTAGCATTTCTTGATATTGAAGGATATACTATTCCTGGCTTGAGATTTAGAAAGAGGGACAATGACCTTGCTGGAGTTCTTCCTGAGCACCACAGTGTGTAACGAATATTCTAGATGTCTTCAACCTACACATTGACCCTTTGTCTGATTTTTCTTTACTTTTTAAGCAGTCTGTAGGTTTCTTAATTCCTAAGTAGCAAGAAAACTGCAGTGGGATTTCAGCAGTTTAGCAGAATCCTTCCTTCTTCACTCAGCAACTTCATTCCACCAAGAGATGCAGAACATAAACTCAAGACTGATGTTTACCTCATCCAGGTCACTTCCCATAAGACTGTTTAAAATAGGTAAAAACAAACCTATGCATTAGCAATGCGTTTCCCCAGCTGAAAGATGAGGCTCGTTCTCCTTTAGAGCTGTTTCAGTTT